AAAATTATAAAATGGTGGAGAAGTTAAGTATTAGATTTCTTAGACTAGGGATAATAAGAAAATATTCATATTGTTATCACATAAATGACCATCAGAGGGCACCCATTGCAGAAGGAGCCCTCAAAAATCAAGTGGCAATGCCCTAGCCCAGTGGTCAGCAAACTGCGGCTCAAGAAGCACGTGTGGCTCTTTGGCCCCTTGAGTGTGGCTCTTCTATAAAATACCACAGCCTGGACGAGTCTATTTTGAAGAAAGGACCAGTCACTTGGTAGAAAAATAACATTAGAGAGTATGTATCATAGAGGGGGGGACAGTGATTTGTCCTTACAAGAACAGACACATATTCTAGATTTCCCTTCCCTAACTACAATATACAATTAACCCTTAAACAACTCAGGGGTTAGGGGCACCAACCATCCATCAAAAATCCACGTATCACTTAGGTCAGCCCACTGCATCTGCAATTTCCAACTGCAGATGAAAAATACAGTTGACTCCTGAACAACATGCCAGTCCACTTATACACAGAAACTCACATGAGTGGACCCAGACAGTTTAAACCTTTGTTTCAATATCCTATATATACTTTCAATCAAGTATATAGGGAACTGTGGCAATGAATTCTTAAAACACACCAAACTTACTGGTTTTGTGCTATGCCCTACCATTCAGAAGAAGCTGGCATGATCCATTACTAAAGGCTCAGGTATAGCAACAATTGAAAGGCCTCTAACAGGATGCTGTCTTAAGCTAGTGGACAATATACAGGGTCACTTCTTCACAGCTCAAACAGAGCAGGGAACCAAGGGGTAAAAGCGAGAGTGACTATTTTCACTATTGCACCAAAAAGGCCACGGAAAGGATTTTCGCTTCCAGTCTTTGTGACCTTGGGTTCAATGTGTTCAGAGGTCCTAGTGGTCGAGGGAAAAATGCATCCACCAAGGCACATAGTCCTGCTCCCATTAAACTGGAAGCTGAGACCGTCCCTTGACCACTTCAGGTTCCTTATACTGAACCAAGAGGCAGAGAAAGAGGTTACTGCACTAGCTGGAATGACTAATCTCAATTAATTATCAAACAGGAATTGAGGCTCTGCTGTGCAATAGGACAAAAATTACAGGTGGAATCCAGGACATTCACCAGATTGCCTTAGCTCTCACTTGACCAATAATCTTACTCAATGGAAAACTGCAACAACTCAAACAGAATAAGCAAGGATGCAGATCCTACAGGAATGAAGGTTTACATCAGACCAAAAGAAATGCTAGCAAAAGGAAAGGGGGAAATGGAGTGGGTGGAGGAATAAGGAAACTATATATCAACTTTCACCTTGACACCAATAAGAGAAAGCAAGACTGTAGCAATTAGGTTCCACATTCTTTTACCCAGTTTTCTTTCCCCTACCTACATTAATACAGTTTTACTACTCACTAAATGTTGTATCTTCCCTGTCCAATTCATACAACACAATACATCTAAAGTGTCCTTCCATAAGATACAAGGTAAAGAATCATATGCAAGGAATACTGAAAAAGAAATTCCTTAAATGAGGAAATTGGACCTAATGAATCTTTATGGATTCTTATAAATCCAAGATTCTATGACTCTTATGAAAACATGACATTTTAAAATCTATACAGATCACCTTAAGTTGGAGAGGAAAGTTCATGCATACCTCAAAGAAAACAAACTCTCACTACAATTTTCGTCTATTTAAGACAGTTCCCCTGAGAGAGAAACTTAAGTTCTTGGATTGTCAAGGACTTTCCTAGAATGGAAACATTATCCGAAATCTATACATCTAAATGGCGGGCGGGGTACTAGATTTCAAACACCTTATCTAAAATTTCATTAGTCACCAGTGTCACATAAACCAGGTCAGCCAAGAATCAAAAGACAAAACTGGGCCCTAGCTGGTTTGGCTCAGTGGGTAGAGCATTGGACTGTGGACTGGACAGTCTCGGGTATGATTTGGTCAAGGGCACATACACTCAGGTTTAGGGATCCATCCCCCAATAGGGGGGCGTGCAGGAGGCAGCTGATCAATGATACTCTCACCATTCATGTTTCTCTCTCTCTCCCTCTCTGAAATAAATAAAAATATACATTTTAAAAACAAAAACTGGCCTCTTAGCAGCCAAGTTAAGCCAGTGTGTACTCTGGTGGAGTTGTTACTGCTTACAATTGTTGATAATATACTTACCACAACAGATTTTCTCTGGAAGTTTATGTTGTTGATGCAGACGACCTGATGGGTTGTATATTAAAAAAAAAAAAATACAAAAACATTATTAAAATGAAGCATCACTCTATCTAAGTATAAGCAAAGACTATGTCCTAAGTAGCTCAAACATCACTTTGTCTTGGGTAACTTGCTTTTCAACTTAGCAACAGCCATGAAAATAAACTTCTTTGGACAAATACAATTTTGCATTTTAAGAAAGAAGGTCTATTATGCCCTGCAAGGGGCATTACATCTGTTGAATTAACTGTCGGGCAAAGCATTTCGCCCTGCAAATAGCGTTTCCGTCGCAGAGTGTGTGTTTCAGTTTCTCACTAGGTTTCCCAAGCCCAAGTCAGTTACAAGGAAACAAGCACTAGAACGGATGAAGGCACAACCCCGAAGAGGAAAGGGCGATCGAGAAAGATACTTATAGTTTATATGGCCTTGGACTTTCAAAGCCCTTGTCTCCTTTCTTCCTGTTCATTCTGGCGGGCTCTAAGCCGGTGGGCGGCATGAAGCGATCGCGCGGAGCAGGGCTTCCCGGCTCCCCCGAGGGCGGCGGGCATTCCCCGGCGCCGGCGCCGCCTGCTCCCGCTCCCCGCAGCCACGCCCCCGGGCCGGGCCCCCCCGGCGCCCCTGTCCGGCCCCTGCGCCGCCGCCGCCGCCGCCGCCGCCTCGAACTCGCTCCCCAACGTAGGATCCCTGCTGCCGCCCTCGCCAAGCCCGGGTCATGGAGATGCTCCTCTCAGCCACCGCTCAACACCACCGCCACTCGACATCCTGCCTGTCACCTGTGACCTCCGACGTCAGCGGAAGTGCGACGGCGCCGGAAGTGTTGGTCAGCGGGCGGGGCTTGCGCGTTACATTCGGGTTCTGTCATTGCCGTTCAGTGTAAACAGAGTGAATGAGAGCTGCTCAAGCTTAGGAAAGCGAACACAAATAGTTTCAGTGTGAGTTGAGAAGCGCAGGAAGGAAAAGAAGGGCCATTTAGAATTTTAGAGGAACGAAGGTCTGGCGCATGCGCATTGAGAAGAGCGGGGCCAGGTTTGAGATGAGCCAGGGCCCGAGGACTAGAAACTGGGGAGTCTCTGAAGCCTGGAGGGCTGTGCCTCTGGTTTGCTGTGAACAGACCCCATCAACTCACTGGGCCCCTAGAGATTTAAGTTGTTATAAAATATGTAATTCGACCCGAGATACTCTGAATCAAACTCCAGAGCCCTCAGTAGGCACTGCTGACTCAGTGATCTTAAAAGAATAGAAACAAAAGATCCACACAGATGCAAAAAAAAAACGAGTTAAAAGACAGGAAAGATGCTTTGGAAGCATTGCATCTACATTTCAATAACAGTTAAGCCTTGATTGTGAATTACCCATTAATATTATTTTTAACGTTGGACCAGATTTAACTTTGGCCTACCCCCTCCAACTGTCCCCGTGATATGTTCATTAGTCAAGATTAATTTGAAGTTTGCTCTAAATAAACGAAAGCAAATTAGGAAAGTGAAGTTGTAAAAAAATGCATCAGGCATTCCAAAATCAACTAGATACTGTAGTTTTCTAGTGAGTATTATCTGTGTCATTTTCTTACTTATAGGATTGTTGGCAGAGATGAGAATGGCACTGTTAGACCAGGGGTCGGCAAATTCCTTAGTCAAACAGAGCCAAATATCAACAGTACAATGATTGAAATTTCTTTTGAGAGCCAAATTTTTAAAACTTAAACTTCTACTTCTAACACCACTTCTTCGAAATAGACTCACCCAGGCCATGGTATTTTGTGGAAGAGCCACACTCTAGGGGCCAAAGAGCCGCGTGTGGCTCACAAGCCGCAGTTTGCATGCCGACCACTGGGCTAGACAAATGAGGTCATACCAGACCTGGGCTCAGCAACCTTCATACTTTGAGTTCTGCCTAGGAAAGAATTCAGTCAAGATTCAAACTATAAGAGAACATTTATTTAGAAAATCGCGGAGGTAGAAAGTAATTTGTAGAAGAAATGGACTTAGGAAACAAGTTATAGAGGCAAAGGATGGGCCCTGGGAGCTTAGAAGTGTGGATTGTAAAGGTGATGCACCTGAGGGGAGGGAAGGGAAGACACCCATTCTCCAGGAGGGGAAAGGGAGCTGGGTCCTATGTCCTAAGGATTTTAAGGGAGGAGATTTTAGCAGAGGCCCCAAGGGAAGATCTCAATAGAATATTCAGCAGTTTTCCAAGTGTAGGGGTCTGGGTAGATGGGTCTAAGCCAGGGCAGGGGGTCAGTGTTCAATGCAACTGGTCCTGAGGTGGCCTCTATTGTCTAGTTTTGCTGCTTTTCTGAGCCTGGAGCTGAAATACAGTTGAGGCTTAGATGTTATCTCTAGGGAGGAAAGGTCAGGGGGTCTAAATTACATGACCAGTGATATGCTAGCAGAGGAAAAATCACCCTGGGGACAAGTTTCTACCTTACAACTGTCCATTACTAGGAACCTGAGTGATCTTCTGTCCCTGGCCTATTGTCCTTGCTCTGCTCATGTCTGTCTACTTCCCTACCACAGGATTATAAACTGCTCTATTATTATCCTTCACATCAAACTGAGGATAAAATCCATTTCATCCCATTTCATCCAGACAAATGGAGGAGCAATTATCAAGTCAATTTCATCAATGAATATGAGTAATGTAGATAACTAATAGCATGTAGTGACTTCCTGTTTTGGTGGGAGGTTGAAACTAGATGGGAACCCACTTGCTTGAGAAATGACATTTAAGTGCATAAATAATTCTCTTGGCTATTTAGTTCTCTAAGAACTTATAAATTTATTAATGATTACAATGTCAAATCCTAATGAAAGAAATAAAATATTAAATATTTAAAAAGCAAACAATTTCAATAAATAAAACCAAATGAACTATAGATATATACTAAACATAAGACATAACACTTTCTTCTGTCCTTGTTTACATTCTGTATTTAATACAAACATAACTTGAAAGACAGAAATATCCTCTTAGGTTTAAGAAAAAAGAGGAGCAGTAGTTTCAAAATGCTTAAGATGAAAAGAAAAATGCCTCACAGTACAAGGTTTTTTAAAGTCTGAAATACAAATGTATAAAAGAATATTTTTCTTATAATAGCCAGCAACTTTACAAAGGAACTTTAATTGCAAAGAAAAGACTGTTGTACTTTTAAGAAATGGGTCTTCTTGAGTTATAAACTTTAACACCATTTTGCATTGAAGATCGAGCATATTTAGTGAGTAATGCACATATGGTTTGCTTCTCTCCACACAAATCTCTGTAGGAACAAAAAATAAGTAAATGAATAGCATAAATATTTTAGGGAACATAACATAATATCCACGGTACTATTTATTTATATCTTTCTCTCCTAAATCTCATCTTCTCAACAAGCATAGGGTATGTGTGTATAGGAGAGACAGGGTAGGGACCAGTTACTAAGCCTTAATTGACTAGGTACATTGAATATATTATCTTCAAACTTCAAAAGCATAGTATGAATAATGTATTATTTAACCCCATACTAGATATGAGGAAACTGAGGCTCAGGAAGGGCAATCCACATTTTGCAGCCAGTTCTCTATGACTTAAAAGTTTTTGTTTTCCTGCCAAAACCGATTTGGCTCAATGGATAGAGCGTCGGCTTGGGGACTGAAGGGACCCGGGTTCGATTCCGGTCAAGGGCATGTGCCTTGTTTGCACATGAGAAATGAAGGTAGGGTATGTGCAAGAGGTGAGATAACAGCTGCAAGAGGCAGCTGATCGATGACTCTCTCTCATCGATGTTTCTAACTCTCTATCTCTCTCCCTTCCTCTCTGTACAAAATCAATAAAATATATTAAAAAAAAAAAAAAAGTTTTTGTTTTCCATTCTATCACACAACCTCCAAAGTAGAAATACAAGCAAGCAAGGTGGTACAGTGGGATGTAGACTCAGAGAACCTGGTATTAGGCTACGTGTGAGCTTATCAAGGTTACGTTCCTTCCCTGAACTTTGGCTTCCTCTTCTGTACATCAAAAATAAGAGAATATTATGACTGGGACATAATGAGGAAAGGAAGAATGGGAAGAGAGCAGGGGTTAGATCATGTAGGGCCTTGAAAACCATGGAAAGGAGTTGTGATTTCATTCTAAGCATTATGGGAAGCCACTAAGAGCTTTAATTAATGGAAAAGCATTATCCATCTAAGTTTTAAATAATGGAGACAATGAGTGATCATTATGGAAACTAGGTGGGGAGTTCATGGAGCGTTCATTATACTATATATTCACAAAAAGTGAAAAAGAGGGAGAAAGTAAGGAGGCCAAATAGAAGTAGGAAGACCAATTCAGAGTCACATACAAGATGGTCCATCAGGATTTGCTCATAGTTTGAACCAAGGGATGAGGGAAGAAAAATACAAAGTTGATTCCTAGACTTCTTGCTTGAGTAACTGAGATTAATGGTAGTGCTATTAACTGAGATGAGGAAGATAGGATTAGGACAAGGGGGTATCAACAGTTCTGTTATGAGCATGTCAGATTTGAAATTCCTATTAGATATTCAATTGGAAATGTTATTTTAGATCTGGCTAATTGGTCTATGTTGCCTACTTGCATATTCCTGGATTTTAGTTAAAGACTCTGCAGGCAAGCAAGGTGGTACAGGGTCTTCTGTGTGAAGACAATGCATCATTAAACCTGTCTATCAGAAAGAAAGAAAAAAATAGTTGGAGAAATTGACCAGGAATCCAATCTGGGTAACAAGAGAGAGGGCCTGAGAGGTGAAACACAGCAAAGAGGGGGAAGTGTTAGTGGCTTCTGGGTTAACTTGTTCTTCTGCAATCTGGCTTCTACAAGATGCTAAAGCAAGGCAGCAGGAAAGGTCAATCAGAGAGGGGTATATAGTCTGACTGTCCCTCTAAGAGCCGAAATTTTGCAGGGAGGAGGGGAGAAAAGTGATTTTAGAAGAAGTAGTAAGCCCCCGGCTGGTGTGGCACAGTGGTTGAACATCTATGAACCAGGAGGTCAGGATTAATTCCTGGTCAGGGCACATGCCCAGGTTGGGGACTCTACACTAGGGGGCATGCAGGAGGCAGCCAATCAGTGATTCTCTTTCATCATTGATGTTTCTATCTCTCTCTCCCTCTCCCTTTCTCTCTGAAATCAATAAAAATATATTTTAAAAAACTATAAATGGAGCCGGGACCGGTTTGGCTCAGTGGATAGAGCGTCGGCTTGGGGACTGAAAGGTCCCGGGTTCGATTCCGGTCAAGGGCATGTGCCTTGGTTGCGGGCATATCCCCAGTGGGGAGTGTGCAAGAGGCAGCTGATCAATGACTCTCTCTCATCGATGTTTCTAACTCTCTATCTCTCTCCCTTTCTCTCTGTAAAAAAAAAACAAAAAACAAACAAACTATAAATGGAGTTTATATATATGAAGTAGTAAGGAAGAAAGATAACACATACCCTACCTTCAGGATCAGTGATTATAGAGGATACTATAGAGGACAGCCTCCACTTGAGAAAGTTTCAAAGGAAGAATTGTCCTTGGGAAATACTCAAAAGAATTTGTTCTGATAAAAATCCAAACTACTATGCCACTCTTTATTAAAAGAACAGCCCTCAAAATTCATATTTAATAAAGTACTTACTGAATATATGGAGCAATATCTTCTTCTGTCCATTTCTCCCTTAGAGAGAATAGACTATTAAAACGTTCCTGATTATCCTCAGGTAAATCATCTACTTTTAGCAAAAATATGATTTCTGGTCTTGACTGTCTATCCACCAAGGCCAAACCCTATTAAGAAATGAGAAAAAGAGTAAAGTAATGGTCTAATGTTTAAATATGGCTTATTATTTTATGTTTAGGTTTAGCTTAGCCCAGGGCATTTAAAATATCAACTACATGAAACATAAGCTACTGAAACCTAATAATTTTTTCCCCATAGAAATAGCTTCTTTAAACTTGACTTTCCCTTTTTCCTCTGCAATCTGGCTTCTACCACTCCAATTTATAAAGACAGCTCTAGTTCAAGGTCACCAGTAAACCGTCATTGCCACTAGGTCCTTGGATTCATCTCATTGGCTGTTTTCTTTGTTAATGCTGATTATTCCTTCCTTTTTGAATCTTTATCTCTGACATCACCATCTCAATATTACCCTCCTAACTTGATGTCACAGTTCCCTGGGCCTCTATTCTGCCCCTCTACTAGTCTCACTGTCAGTCCTGTATAACCTCAACTAAACCATGATTTCCACGACCGATTACTTGCTAATACCTGTAAGATTTGTATCTGCAACTCAAATGTCTCGTGGGCTGAGCATCTGATCTCTATAACCAAACCTACGTATGAACTCACGGTATCTGTCACCTAAACCTGCTCTAATCTCACTGTCCCAGGAAGCCAAGAAACCAAGGCATTAACTTAGATTCCACTATTCAAACCCCACACCTAAGAGGTCACTAACCTATAGGTTTTAAGGCCTCAACATTTCTCTATCCATTCTATATCACTTATTTCTTTAGCCAGTATTGTCTTAGTTAGGAATATTTAAGTGTTAAGAGCCTGGACAGTTCTCCTTTTCATCATCTAACCAACCTTTATCCATCCATACATACATACATACCGTGTTTCCCTGAAAATAAGACATCCTCCGAAAATAAGACCTACTTACAGTTTTCCTTCTGAGTGAAATATAAGGCATCCCCCTCGAAAATAAGGCCCCCCTAGGCTAACCATGAGAGATTTGGTCCACTAATTCTGAAAGAAATGGAGTCACAAGAAATTCACCAGGAAATTCAGGAATTGGATTGTTATGATGATGGTCCAGAAGATGATGACATGATTGTCACTGAATAAATGAGTAAATTCTTGATACTATAGGATTCACAGTTTATCTGGTTTGTGTTGACAACTATCGTATACAGGCAATAAATTTCCTTTATTTTCATTTAACAATAAATGTGTACCGTATTCTTCTTCATGGAAAAATAAGACATCCCCTGAAAATAAAACCTAGCGCATCTTTGGGATCAAAAATTAATATAAGACACTGTCTTATTTTCGGGGAAACAGGGTACATACATAGATCCACATTACCGTCATAGTGTTCTTTCCAAAAGGCAAAACTCACCAGGTTACTCTCCTTGCTAAAACACTGAATGGGCCCAAATACTTTTGAGATGTTTAGGATGTTGATGGCACCTTAGCATCTAGCACAGTGCCTAGACTTAAAAGGAAGTCAAATTTGAGCAAATCCTTTCTCTTATTTAACAAATACTTATTGAGTATATACTACTTTCCAAACAGTGTGATATATGTTGGCAAGCAACAGTGAACAAAATTCTATCAAAGTGGAGGTAGGCAACCACATAATTAACACTTTTAAAGCAAAGTGATAAGTGCCATGAAGGAAAAATATAAGGTGCTATGGAAGAGTAAAAGAGGGGCATATTTTTAGAGTGAAGGAAGGCCTCTTTGATGAAGTTATTCAAAAATGAGTAGGAGTTGGCCAGATGAAGTTAGGGAGATCATTCTAGAACAAAAAGCCTTGAGTGAAGACCCTACACTAGAAGCCAGCCTGATGATTTTGAAAATTTGAAAGAACACTGGGTATGCATTAAGCAGGACAGAAATCATGAAGGGGAGATTATAGAGGGCCTTGTAGGCCAAAATATGAATTCTGGATTTTATATCTTAAATGCATTGGGCAACTATTAAAGTGATTTAAGCAAGACATTGATCTAATCTGAATTAAAGATCATTCCAGTAGCACCACAGAGAATGGACTGGAGCAGAGCAAAATTAAAAGTATGGACAGCCTGGTTAGGGATATTACTGTTATTTATAGCCAAATAAATATGATACCTTGAGGTAAGATGGTGCTGATGGAAACTGAGATAAACCAATGGAGTGGGAATCAGGATTAACTAAGGGATTTCATCGAGGTGATAACGTTCTCAAACTAGATTGTGGTGATGGCTGTGTAACTCACTAAATTTATTAAAAACCCCTTTTAAAGAGATAAATTTTGTGTTATGTAAATTATACTTAGATAAAGTGTTGACTTTTGGGTGGTTTTTTTTTTTTTTTTTTAGGATTTTGTGATAGATTGAGTGTATAGTACACATTTAATGGGTAGCTAGGGAAATAAATTGGCTCCAGATTCAGTTCCAACATAAATTTTGTTTCACCTAGTAACTAATGATGATCTGTTGTCATGGTAGCCATCACCATCGCTACCTCACCTTAAGCTGCTCAAGCCTGGTTATCATTCCTTCAGGGACACTCTGCTGCCACACTTCCTGAAACTCAGCGAGGTTGAACTTCACTGCATTCTGAAGTAGCATTTGTGCTGTTGCTCTGCAGATTTTATCAGCGCTCAATTCAAAATAAACTTCACCTGGGGAAAATAAAGAACTAAACTCACCTAAAGAAAACACATCCAATACTTTCATATTACCTTCACCATGAGACACACGCCTATTGTGTCTTTTTCCTCCATGAAATCCCCAGAAGCAATTATACACAATTCACCTCCCATGACCCATGGAGTCCTTATTTTGGACAGAAACACACCTCAGTAAAGCATAACAATTTTAACATACAAGATTTCATACCCATTAAAATACTCTCCAGATCTTACCTTCCTCTGTATATCTTCTTCCATAACACTTAAGACAGTGCTCAATCATTTCTCTGAAAAATTTAAAACACTCATTTGACAAGTTATCGCATTTTTATACAATATATTTTATATGCCACTAGAAATAAGATATACATTTGTGATTTGAAATATAAAGTGATTTTAACTACCAGGTAAAACTTTATATTAGGAACTAATATATACTAGGAAGCTACTATATGCCAGATCCCATGCTAACTATTTTTACATGAATTATATGAGTATACTTCTATTATAAAATAGTTTCTTTGTATTTTAATGCAAAAATAAAAATAATGCACATTTATTCACCTCAGTGACCAAAATTCCAAATCCTTCTTGATTGTATAATTTTTAAATTCCTATAAACTATCAAAATATAAGTAGTCTATGCCCTGGGTTTAGTTCCACCCTGGAAAATAATTTCCTTAGCTTTAAGGAAATCTGATGGGACAGGGATTAAAATACTTACTCTGGTTCTAATGGTCCAAGTTCCTGAAGGCATATATTCAAAGGAACTTTAGTAAAAGACCATGATTCAGAATCCACAAGCTGAGTTACATGATTCAGAAGTTTCATCTCATAATCAAATTCAAGAATCCTCCAATAACCTACAAATTCAAAGTTTATATTTATTAAAGAACATATTAAGCAAATTATTTGGCTAATAAAGTAATAAAATAGCAGCCTGCTCTTACCCACTGCAAAAAAAAAAAAAAAAAAAAAAAAAGAGAGACATTAAAAGTCTTTCTTTTTTAAAAAAAAAAAAGTCTTCACTTTCCTAACAAACAATGCTTATGCTTTTCTCCCATTACAAATTGTGGTTTTTAAAAGAGTAGTTCAGATATGACTAACACTGATTTTTTTCCAAATGCTTTAATATTAAAATCAATATCTCACAATAATCTTGTTATTCTAAATGGACGTGGCTAGTACAATCATTTCATAGCATGTCATACTAATGAGGTGAAGGCCATGGATTCGCCATCCCGCAGTGTAACCTCTGCTAGGGACACTGCCATGGTCATCGCTCTCACCTCAGCTGGCCTGCAAAGGGGTTCTCATGCTCAAAAGAAAGTCTAGCTCACTCAAGAGATGACAGACTCAGAGTTACGATGTGGACCAGTGGCAAAATAAAGGCTGGGCATCAAGATACCTTCCCCTAGTCCCGCGAAAAGTGAAAAACCATCTTATAATTGAAGGCACTACCATCCCCTATGGAGAAACAAATTAAGTACACTTCCACTACTTCCAAAGGAGAATGTTGCTATTCTTATTCTGAAAAATAAAGGCAACGTTAAAAATGGAATTGTGATGTAAAACTGAGAAAGAAAGCATTTCCTATGCTTAGAACCAAATGAGCCAAGTGTTTCTAGTTCTTAAGTCATGTGTAGTTGCTTTACTCAGCAGAATTTGCCACATATGATTTAAGGTTTCACAAAAGTTAATCTTGCTGGAAAGATTGTGAGCAAATTTAATAGTAAATCTATCAACCCATGCCAATTTCCTCCTCCTTCACACGTGGTGCTGAGTTAAGCTGCTTCTCTGGGCTAGCTTAAAAGGACTGACAAATGCACATGAACGCTTACTGTTACTGCAGGCCCAGATGCTGGGGAAAAAACTCCAACTCCAGACCAGCAACCAGTCAAAACACTTAAAGTAGATACTACTAGGCTTCTTCCTCAACCCCTGAGACCATATATGGTAACCTATGTTCTATCTTGTACATAGGTTACCATATAAACCATTTATATTCAAAAGCATGTTACATGTTATCACAAGAGGAAACACAGTCTTATCTTCCAAGCAATTTGGAAATACAATGAGGTTACTAAATTAATTCCGAACCAGGAATTCAAGTTCAAGTTCACCTGGGTTCTATATGTAGAACCTTATCATTAATTCAATATGTAGTCCTGGACAAGTCAGTTTCCCTTTAAAAAAGGCCTTAGTTTCTTCACCTACTAAAAAAAAGAAATGGTTGGGACTGGTTTGGCTCAATGGATAGAGCGTCAGCTTGGGGACTGAAAGGTCCCGGGTTCAATTCCGGTCAAGAGCATGTACCTTGGTTGCGGGCATATCCCCAGTAGGGTGTGTGCAAGAGGCAGCTGATCGATGACTCTCTCTCATCGATGTTTTTAACTATCTTTCTCCCTTCCTCTCTGTACAAAATCAATAAAATATTTAAAAAAAAAAAAAAAAGAAGAAGAAGAAAGAAATGAAGGGATTAGACTACCTGATACCTAAGACCTTTCTCAAGCTAACATGGTTCTCCTACTACCACTTAACCCAAAGAAAAAGGTTAAAGTACTGGTCATGGACTGACCTCTTCATGTAAAGATCACATGTATTTCCTACCTATTCCCCAAAATGCAAATATCATCATCTGTGAGCCTCCAAAAAGAATAAACAAAATATAATAGAGTGAAGATGTCCAAAAAATTGTCTCTCTTTTTCTCTTATATGATGCTCAATTCCATCATCACTATTCCACAATGACAGTAATGCTACCTTCAATCTCACAGGCATTTAGAACTTGTAACTGGGCCATTATTTCTTCCTCACTTGCCTGAATTTGATCAAGCAAATCTTCAGTTGTATACTGAAACAAGAGAAAACAAACAAACAACATTTTAAAACCTTTGAATAATATTTTTTAAGATTCTTGAATTTGGGCGGAAACCGGTTTGGCTCAGTGGTAGAGCGTGGGTCTGCGGACTGAAAGGTCCCAGATTCGATTCCGGTCAAGGGCATGTACCTTGGTTGCGGGCACATCCCTGGTAGGGGGTGTGCAAGAGGCAGCTGGTCGATGTTTCTCTCTCATCAATGTTTCTAGCTCTCTATCCTTCTCTCCTCCTCTCTGTAAAAAATCAATAAAAAAATATATATTTTAAAAAAAAGATTCTTGAATTTGGGGGGATAAATACATAAAATAGATTAAGGCAATATTTAAACACTAGCTCAACTTCTTTTGTTAATGAGTAATGATTACTACACAAAATCAGTAGATATCTCAGAAGAAAGCATAAATGATGTTGGATTTAATAATGGTTTCTTAGATATGACACCAAAGGGAAAATACAATAGATAAATTGGACTTCATCAAAATGAAAAACTTCTATACTCTGTTCTTCAAAACATCATCAACACAAAAGGACAAATATTGCATAATTCCACTTATATGGGATAGTTAAGAGTAGACAATTCATAGAAACAGTAAAATGTTGGTCACTACAGGCTGGGAAGCAGGGGAGTCTAGGGATTTAGTGTTTAATAGGTACAGAATTTCAGTTTGAGGAAGATAAAAATTTCTGTAGATGGATAGTGGTGATGGTCACAGAATAAGATGAATGTACTTAATGCCACAGAAATATCCACATGTGATTAAAATGGTAAATGTTATTTATGTATATTTACAATTCTTAAAAAAAAAAAATCAAGAAAGTGAAAAGACAACTCACAGACAGGGGAAAATATTTGCATATCATCTATCCGATAAGGAACTTGTTTTTAGACTGTATAAAGAACTCTCCTACAATTCAAATAACCCAATTAAAAATTGGACAAAGGAGTTCCTAAATAGACATTCTCCAAAAATACATAGTCAATAAGCACATGAAAAAAATGCTCAAAATCATTAGTCATTAGGGGAATGCACATCAAAACCAAAATAATACCATTTCAAACCCACTAGCATGGATATTAGAAAGACGGAACAAAAAGCAAGTGTTGTCAAAGATCTGGAGGAATTGGAACCCTCATATGATGGGAATGTAAAATGGTGCAGTCACTGCCTGACAGTTCCTCGAAAGATTATGCAGAATAAGCACATGACCTGGCAATTCTACTCTTAGATATATACCCAAGAGAAATGAAAATATAGGTGTGGCCGGAGTGGCTCAGTTGGTTGAGCATTCTCCTATGCATCTAAAGGTTGCCAGTTTGATTTCCAGTCAAGGCAGCACATACCCAGGTTTTGGGTTGCATCTCAAGTCAGTGAACCTAGGGAAGGCAACCGATCCATGTCTCTCTGCCTCCTACCCCTCCCCCCCCACTTCCTCTAAGCATGGCCCCTGGTGATTAAAAAAAAAAAAAAAAAAATGTTTAAAAAACATAAATGCAGCTGAAACTGGTTTGGCTCAATGGATAGAGCATCAGCTTGGGGACTGAAGGGTCCCGCTTTCGATTCGATTCTGGTCAAGGGCATGTACCTTGGTTGCGGGCATATTCCCAGTAGGGGGTGTGCAAGAGGCAGCTGATCGATGACTCTCTCTCATCGATGTTTCTAACTCTCTATCTCTCTCCCTTCCTCTCTGTACAAAATCAATAAAATATATTAAAAAAAAACATAAATGCAACATAAACTTGTATATGAATGCATTTAGCACAGCAGTGTTATTCATCTCAATTAAAAATGCCCATCAACTGATGAATGGATGGATAAAATGTGTGAATATAGCCATGAAGTAGGGTAATATTCAGCAATAAAAAGGAATAAACTACTGATGAATGAAACTTGAAAACATCATGCTAAGTCAAACAAGAAGCCAATCAGAGAAGGCCACAAATGATATGATTCCATTGATGTGAAATGTCCAGAAGAGACAAATTAATAGAAACAGAAAGAAGATTAGTGGTAGCCTAGGGCTGAGGTAGAAGGAAATTGGGAAAAGTAGGATTGGAAGGTAATAGCTAAAAGGCACAGGGTTCTTTTGAGGCTGATAAAAATGTTCTAAATTTTTGTAATGATTGCATACCACTGTAAATATACTAAAAAACACTGAATTATATATACACTTTAAAAATGAGTGAATTGTTTAGTATATGAGTTATATCTAAATAAAGGTGTAAGCCCCCTCAAAAAAAAAAATCAGTCAATGGAGAAAAAGAGAATTTCTAATACAAATATGGTCTTCAGAATACCAGTAGAATTCTATCATTTTGAATTATCTACATTAAAAAAAATTTTACTTGGTTTATATTTTTCTATACTTCCAAGAATTAGTCAATTTTGACATTAGAGTAAAAATACTTTCCATAATGTATTTATGTAATACATAAGTTCCAATAGCATAATGTCTCTTCTAAAGAGCCCCTAATTATTACTTTCAATTAAATAAAAATTAACTTAACATGTAAAAACCTATTTTTGCATAGTTAGGAGTATGGGCTTTCAGCCAGGTAAATGTCTGTAGAATTTGCTTTAAAATACTCCAGAGTAAGGAAAACAAGGTGGGATAAAGAAGGGGATAGAAAAAAAGCAAGATTGACAAAATATTGTTAAATGTTCAACTGAGTGATGAATATACGGTACTCTTTCTGCTTTTGGATAGGTCTGAAATTTTCATAATATAAAGTTTAAAATGTAAAAATGTCACCAGTAAGTGCCTGTAGTTATAGTTCTATTTTTTTTAATTCCAAATAAAAATGAAAATTAATAGTCTTACTTTTGAGTAATTGGAATCCTTTTCTTTTTGACTGTCAGGTCCTTCATAGGTATTTGCCATTAAAAGTCTCTTTAGCTTCTTTAATTTAGGTCTACATCTTCTTAGTTCCCAATAATTATTAGAAAAACCAAAGATCTAAAAATGATAAGTATATTATAACTTTTAGGGCTCATTCTAAAATAAAAATCTCATACGATTCCAACCCACCCAGCTGCCCTCAACAAGAACCAAAGGAAAATTGTTGTTCTGCTTTCTGTTGGGAAGGCACTGATCCAGCACCTCAAACAGGTGGATAGGCATCTTCAGGAATCTTTTCAAATCCTCTTTCAGAAGCTACTGCCAACATACGAGGAATCAGTAATTGAGCTCCATATCTCAAGTGTACTTTGGAAACCAGAGTATGCTCAGAAAAGAATAACCAGAAAGGTGACAATTTTACAAACAAAATAGAAACAACTGGCCAAAACCGGTTTGGCTCAATAGATAGAGAGTCAGCCTGTGGACTGAAAGGTCCCAGATTCGATTTCGGTCAAGGGCATTTACCTTGGTTGCGAGCACATCCCCAGTGGGGGGTGTGCAAGAGGCAGCTGATCGATGTTTCTCTCTCATTGATGTTTCTAAATCTCTATCCCTCTCCCTTCCTGTGGTTATACATTATATAGCTAAAGTTTTTAATTAAAGGCAAGATTAGACATGTGTTGTCATTGTCATACTTATATAATCGGGGGACAAAATACAGTACCTCAGTGTGAATAATGTTACAGTGGGTTTCTTCCATCTTTAGCTGGCCTGGAATTTTACAACCAGGAATTAAAAGCAACATATTGGAAGTATCTGCTATCTTCAAGTCATAGGTTTTGTCTTTACTGCACAGCACAGCCTGTTCATCTTTATCACCACGAATCACCATACTACAGGAAAATGGGAAAAGAAAATACATGATTTATTGACATGCCAATGGACATCTTCATTATACACTGTTCCCCTCTAGGGTGGTAGAATTTAAAATTTGTCATGATGCTCTCATAGTCCTCACACAAGGATGGGCTCCACAGAGCAAGAATTGGGCCAATTGAGAGCCGGCAAGACCAGCTGGATCAGTCCTATGTATGGGTCACACCATCCAGCTCACTGCCCGGCCTACCAGTGGCCTGGAATCCCAGGGGAAAAGAGAGCGAGCTGGGGATCCGGCCACCAATCTGCTGTAAGCCCCTCACCCTCTTACCCCTGCAAATATACGCACCTCCCTGGCCCAGATCCCCATCAGAGAACATCAGGAGGAGGCGCGGCGCCCCGCTCACCTGCACCCCGCCTCCAGCTGCTGGCACAGCGCGGGCTCCAGCTCCAGGAGGCAGAAGTCGCCGCCGGCGGCCGCGCTGGCCCCGGGGCTGAAGCCCAGGCACTGCACGGCTGGTAGCAGCTCCGCTGGGTTCAGCTTGGCGATCTGCAGCGTCGCGTCCACCTCGTCGCGGGTCCTCCTCATTGCTGCTGCGCGGGGTTGGGAGGCCGCAGGCTTAGAACACTAGAACTGAGCCTCCCGAGCTGCCGCGACTGGGAAATGTACACGGAACGGACCAGTTTCTAAAGCGCGCCAAAGCGGCTGGGGCTGTTTCCGGGGCGGAGCGCGCTGCGGGCGCATCCCCGGGAAGGTCCTGAAGCAGCTGTGTGCGCGAGCCCGGCTGCTGCCAGGTCTCTGCTGGGGGAGCCTGGGATGTTGCAAAACAAAACCAAAAACTTTGTTTTGTTTTGTTTCCGGGTCATCTTGGTGGAAATTTTGGCAGAAGAGCTGTGACCCCGCGGCGTGCCACGCGGAACCGTTACCCACCCCTCCCGATGCTCCCCTTATTTCCTGACAATACCCCGTTTCCTCGCCTGCAAAATAGTCTCATCTTCTGCTAGTGGTGGGCCTTGAAATAGCACTTTGCATGCATAATTTCATGAACCACAACTCTATTTTTTTTTTTTATTGATTTTGTACAGAGAGGAAGGGAGAGAGATAGAAAGCTAGAAACATTGATGAGAGAGAGTCATCGATCAGCTGCCTCTTGCACACCCCCTACTGGGGGTATGCCCGCAACCAAGTACATGCCCTTGACCGGAATCGAACCCGGGTCCCTTCAGTCCCCAAGCCGACGCTCTATTCATTGAGCCAAACCATGAACCACAACTCTAAAGGGGGCCCTTGGTCATCCCATTTTGCAAATGAGGGAGCCAGCTCCTTGCCTGTGGTTGTCCAGCCAAGAGGTGGCAAAGACTGCTTCCAGTTTAGACTATGGCTCTAAAACCATCCTGCCGGGTTTGGTGCAAACACTGTGGACCGGAAGCTAGACCCTGGTAGAATTTATTTGGATGTGGGGACCTTCATAGCATATCTAAGAGACACTATCCGTTGGTTGAGTACCTATCCAGTCTGTGCTGGATGGCAAGCTGGGACCATTGTCAAGAGGAAGCCGGCATTTCTGGGGGTGGGAAGGCCCTGCATTCTCCTGTAGTAGACAGGCAAACTCACTCCTGTAAGATGCGTAAATCTTCCACTGTGTGTTCTCTAAGGCAAGATCTTACAGTAACCTGAATACAAAGTTTTAAGAGAAGAGCTCATCACATATGCATATACATGAATAACTTGTAACAGCATAACATGGTGAACTCTCCTAGGGATACTTGCTGGAGTCTGGAAAGAATATTCCATGTAAAAGGTGGTGGTGATCTTGTCCTGGTTGGTGTGCCTCAGTGGTTAGCAGTGTTGGCCTGTGCAGAAAGGGTCATGGGTTCGACTCCCCATCAAGGGCATGTACCTTGCAGGCTGAAGTCAGGAACATGCAGGAGGCAACTGATCAGTAGATGTTACTGTCTCTTTCTTTTCCCCTCCCTCCCTTCCACTCTCTTTAAAAAAACAATGGATCCTTCCTGGTGTGGCTCATGGGTTGAGTGTCAACCCAAGAGGTCTCCAGTTCAATTCCCAGTCAAGGCATATGCCCAGGTTGTGGGCTCGATCCTAGTAGGGGCAGTGCATGAGGCAGCCAATCAATGACTTCCTCTTTCATCGATGAGCACAGCCTCTGGTACATAGTATGCAAATTTAGAACTGATATATTTTACCTCGTTTCTGCTTCCCCCCCCCCCCCTTTTTTTTTTTCTTTAGCATTTCTGTTGTTTTTCTTGCTTATTTTCTTTCACTGTCTTTCACTGAATTAATTTTGTTGTTGGTTTGATTTTTTCTTCCCTCTAGCAATTTGGAACATATATGCTGCCTCATCTACTACTGCTCTCCCTTGCCCTCTTCCATGCCCCCGTGTAGCATGGACCACACCGGCTCCCTGTGAGGTCGGTACTGTCACCTTGTATCTGCTGCCATTTGGGCTCTGTTTGCCTAGCATGCTCTCCCCTCCCTTCTCTGCCTGGTTAACACTTACTCATTCTCTAGCTGAGCACTGTCTTCTAAAATGTTCTGAGATGTTGGAAAAGCTCTCTCTCTGCACAGTCCAGTCTGTTAGCTACTAGCCAAACGTGGCTTTTGAGTGCTTGAAATATAAATAGTGAGAATGAGAAATTGAATTTTAAATGTTATTTAATTTTAGTTAATTTACACTTCAATAGCTACATGTGGCTAGTGGGTACTCTGTGTTGGAACTGTAGGCTCTAGGTTACTAGTCTCTTCTCAAAAACCTTTCTCTGATCTCCTTAATCAGGTCCAGTCTCTCTAATATACTGTACACTAAGCATGTTCAAACTCAAAGGCTAACATGGGCCAAGTAAACAAGGTTTAAGTTTATGTGGGCCACAAAAAAACACAAAAGCTTCAATTTTCATAGAAACATAGGTTTATTTCGATAGAAGCAAGCTGAATACAAAGGGCTAAAACAAATGAGTAATCATTAACATAAAATAATAGAACATTTTAATAAAAATTAATATTTGTTCTTGAACATTAACTTACCAGACACTGAATAACTGCACAAATTAATAAGCGTAATGCAAATAAACCTATTTTTCTTGTTCTCCAAAAGCCAAATATTTCCTGTTGCACACACCAAACAAGTCAGTCCAAGACTAATGATGTGGCAACCAGCTGCTAAAATATTCGCTGCTAGTATTAGTGGAGAGAAATGGTGCTCCTGTGTGTAAGGCACATAAGGGAAATGAATGCACCACAATCATAGTATTCAGTTATTAGTGAATATTGTAGTTCATTATTAATAATTATGTATAACAGGACATTATAAAAATTAAGTTATGAAATTTTTATTAAAACGTTTCTTACATACTGTTATATTGGCTGAGCTGCAAAAATATTCGTTGTGGGCCTTGAGTTTGACATGCTAGCTGTCATGGCAGCAGGTACCTCTCATTAATAGATTTTAAGCAATTTTACATTTATTTGTGATTACTTCAAGTCTTTTATTGTTTCTTTTTTTTTAATTTACCTTTATTGTTGGAAGTATTACAGGTGTCCCATTTGTTTGTTTGTTTGTTTGTTTGTTTTCCATTGACCACTTCCTCCCCACTCCTTTCAGGCATTCACCAAACTATTGTATGTGTTCATGGGCTATGCATATCCTATATAATAAAAGGCTAATATGCAAATCAATTGAATGGCCGAATGACTAGTTGTTATGATGCATACTGACCACCAGGGGAGCAGACGCTCAATGAAGGAGCTGCTCCCTGGTGGTCAATGCACTACCACAGAGGGAGTGCCACTCAGCCAGAAGTCAGGCTTGTGGCTGGCAAGCTCAGGGGCAGTGGTGGAAGCCTCTCCCGCCTCCTTGGCAGTGCTAATGACCCCTTGGGGAATATCTGCCTACCGGCTTAGGTCTGCTCCCCTAAGCCAGCAGGTGGACAACCCCCAAGGGATCCTGGTCTATGACAGAGCGCAGGCTGGGCTGAGGAACACCCCACCCCCCACGCCCCAGTGCACGAATGTTATGCACCAGGCCTCTAGTACGCATATAAGTTCCCTTATTAATCTTTCCCCCACATCCCCAAACCTCCACAGCACCCATATCCGTCTGAAATTCCTCAGTCTGTTCCATGGTCCTATGTCTCTGTGTCTATTTTATTCATCCATTTATTTTGTTCATTAGTTTCCATATATAAGTGAGATATGATACTTCATATATATGTTTGCTGAACAATTGAATGAATGAATTGTAATAAAGTTTACCTCTGAGGAGGGGAGTAGAAGAGTACATCAAAACAGATTCTTGATTTATCTTTAATGAATAAATTTTAACACTTAGCGTATTCAGGCATTAAATGTGAAATTAAACACATTAAAAATATTTTCCACAGTATTACAAAACCCAGTGTACAGACAAATAACTTCAAATGGATAGATGATAAATCACTCATGAATAGAGTAGAGAGAGAAAGGGAAGGAGAAGGGAGAAAGCAAGAGTTGCTCATTTTATTTTGTGGCACATATTGAAGCGAAACAGGAGTAAAAGGAGACCAGTAAGAGCCCAAATGAATGATGATGGCTGGGTGTGAGAAATAATTTTTTACAAAGAATGGACAATAGTAGCTATTTGATTCGGCATGGAAGTTAGAAGAGGGGAAAGAGGCAATGTTGAATTCTAGATTCCTGCATGGGCATTTCCTGTAATTTACAACATATTATGGGAAGTATAGGAACAGATTTGGGGTGAAATGGAATGAGTTCTTGTTTTGACATGTGGAGATTGAGAGGCCATGGGAATATATAGGTGAGGACATGCCTTGGATTTCGATCTAGAAATGATGCAGGCTTTCTGGGGCTCCAAGAAATTCTTTCACAGGAAAGAATTCAAATATGAGCCAACATAGAGTTTAAAGTGAAAGTGAGTTTATTAGTGAAGCAGTGAGGCAGAGAGCAGGCCACTTCACAGACAAGGTAGTCCCCTTTAGCGGAATTTGCTTCCTTTATTGAGGTTCATTTAATCAAGAGTAGGGTATTCAATAAAGGGAAGGAATAGGCAGGATCTTCCTGGGAAAGAGGCAGAGATTTCTCAGGGGAGCTCTGCTGGCCATTTTGTGTCCTTATATGGGCTTTTCATTTCTGATCATGGCTGAGAGGGGTGTGTCATTTAGCATGCTAATTAATATATTAAATGGGCTAGGAGTTACCATGAGGTGAAATCAGTCACCATATTGGATTGAACTGCTGGTTTTAGGTTATAACTGATTTTAGAGAGGAAGGGGAAAGGAGAGACAGAAACATTAATGATGAGAGAGAATCATTGATCAGCTGCCCCCTGCACAACCCCTGCTGGGAATCAAGCCTGCAACCCAGGCACATGCCTGGAATCAAAAGCTCTATCCACTAAGCCAAACCAACCAGGGCTGGTCTTACTTTTTGATAGTTCCAGTAGCTTTTATTGATTGCAACTGTTCTGCTACATACCCTATCTCAGAACTTGGAATTTGAATAAAGGTGTGGCCAGGAACTAGAAGATAAAGCTTTTATTTTATTTTTAACATTTTTCACATTCCTAGAAAATCCTTTCTGTTTCTTTTTTGTTAATTCTCATTGGAGGATATTTTCCCCCCATTAATTTTAGAGAAAGTGGAAGGGATGGGGAGAGACAGAAAGAAAAAAAATCCATGTGAGCCGAAAACGGTTTGGCTCAGTGGTAGAGTGTGGGTCTGCGGATTGAAGGGTCCTGGGTTCGATTCTGGTCAAGGGCATGTACATTGGTTGCGGGCACAGCCCCGCTGGGGGGTGTGCAGGAGGCAGCTGGTCAGTGTTTCTCTCTCATCGACGTTTCTAGCTCTCTATCCCTTTCTCCTTCTCTCTGTAAAAAATCAATAAAATATATATTTTTTAAAAAATCCATGTGAGAAACACATTCTTTGGTTGCCTCCCGCATGTATATCCAACCCTAGACTCTTCCAACCACTGAGCCAAACCAGCCAAGGCTAAAAGATAAAGGTTTTAAATGCTTGGATAGGGTAGTAATAAGAGTGCCTATGAATGAGATCACCCAGGGAGCAGATGATTTACAACTGAACCCTGGTCTAAAATTGAAGTTTACCAACATTTGAGGTGGGAAGAAAAACAGAACGAAGTAGTGTCTTGGAAACTATATTACCTTATGTTTTCATAAATCACGTAGAATAAAAAAAAAGTTCTGATTTACAAGATTTATTTATGTAGAAAATAAGTTAAATTTTAACTTCCTTTGTTAAAGAAGCCTTAAGAATTTTCTCCACTAGATGGTGGTATTGTTTTATGTTTCACAGAAACACTGCCCTAGAAAAGCAAAGGACTACCTATTAAATAACTGAATTGAGTACCCTATATGTGTGATCTCATCCAATCCCTACAACAGTATAAATCATATCATGTGACAATCTTTGTCCAAAATCCCCCAGTGGATTCCAACCTTTAGAGTAAAAAGAAAAGTCCTTACTAAGGCCCTTAAGACCTTATACAATCTCTGTTATAACCCCTCCTCCACATTCTCTAAATTCATAGGCTACACTTGTGCTCAAGGCTCTTCTGTTTTTAAAACAGCCTGATTAAGTAAAATAAACTGCACCTATTGAAAGGATATACTTTAATGATTTGACAAATGCAGAACATTCTCGTTGAGGCAGGCTAGTGAGAAGCCAGGAAAACTCCTTGGCAAGTGGAATGGGAAACTGAGATAGACAGCTTATTCAAACTGGCCTCAGGCAGCGCCCTGACTCACATGCCTTCTTCACCCTTGAAGGGCTACTCCCTTAAGCACCAAGCCCTCAGCACAATGAGGTTCTGATCAGCACCAAATAATCTTAGGAACAAAGCCTTTGATCTGTGGAGCCCAGACACAGAGTTTTGGTCTCACCGTGTATTTCCTGGTATTTGTGATTTCCTAGGTTGTTTTTGAAAGGCAGTAGAGTGCATCATCCAAAAATATGCCTCTTTCAGATATTAAATATTTTAAGCTGAGGACTTGCTTAATGAACCTCTAGCGACCCTAAGGCCATCGGAAAACACAGATATTTACATTACGATTCATTAATAGTAGCAAAATTGCAGTGACGAAGTAGCAACAAAAATAATTTTATGGTTGGGGTCACCACAACATGAGGAACTGTATTAAAGGGTCGAGGCATTAGGAAGGTTGAGAACCACTGGAACTAGAGATGATATCTAGGCCTTGTGTTTCAGTTCCAGGCCCAGAAAAGCAGCAAAACCCGATGAAGCATGCTGTGGTTCACCTCAGGACCAGATGCATTTACCAATGACTAGCGCCAACCAATCAGTAGAGACCACAACCCGGACTCTAGACACTCATTTTGGTGAACCAGCGTATTAAAGGGCACACCTATAAATAAAGCTGATGAATGTTGTATTGAGATCCTACCCTGAAGCTCCCCTAAAATTCCAGCCTTTAGAAAACAGATAAAAACCCTAAGACAAAGGACACAGCACATGGTCTCCCTGAAGCATGCCCCTACCTCCTTTCTCCTAAGCTCTGAAGTTCCCACAAGACTTAAAACCAGGGGAGCAGTGGGCAGCTCCAACGTGTTCTTAGCTAAGCCCCCTGAACCTGGATCCAAGGTCTCTTCTTTGGCCTCTGGAACTTGATTTCTGAGACCACATAGGCCAGCTATCTCAATTCTGCTTCAATTCTGCCTCTGAGACTTTCTTTCTAAAAGACCAAGTCAGGTTTCTGAATCTTCTCTTCCAGTATACTTCTGTTTTGTATGTTAAGTAAACTTCTTATGTTAGAGTTATTGGCTCTGAATTCTTTCCTTGCCACACTCAAGAACTGAGAGCCAACATCAGCAATTACACTCAAGAACTGAGAGCCAACATCAGCAATTACACTCATCACCAAAAAAAGTTTTCTTAGGCCCCTTAGAAAAAGAAGGAAAATTTATTAAATATGAACTACTATGTACTTTGGGTTTGCTTTATTTTTTTTCTATTTTTTTTTTATCATTGATTTGAGCCCTTTCTTCTTTTCTAATATAAACAGTTGAAACTATAAATTTTTCACTGAAACCGGTTTGGCTCAGTGGATAGAGCGTTGGTCTGTGGACTGAAGGGTCCTGGGTTCGATTCCGGTCAAGGGCATGTGCATTAGTTGTGGGAACATCCCCAGTGGGGGTGTGTGTAGGAGGCAGCTGGTTGATGGCAGCTGGTTGATGTTTCTCTCTCATCGATGTTTCTAGCTCTCTATCCCTCTCCTTTTCTCTCTGTGAAAAATCAATAAAAAATATATTTAATTAAAAAAGAAGAAACTAAATTTTCCTCTAATCTGTTTTAGTGGTATCACAAAATTTGAAACATTATCTTTAATTATCACACATTTGAAATATTTCCTAATTCTGTTTGTAATTACTTCTTTCCCCTGAATTGTTTAGGAGTGAGTTGTATTTCTAGATATTTGTGATTTTGTAGGTTGTTTTTGAGGGGCATTTTCGTAACGTTAGAGTGTATCATCCAAAAGACAGCCAAGATACTGAGATTTATGCATGCTACCTTGATGTATAGCCAGTTAGCCAAGAGACGCCAAAAGTAGAGTGTATCATCCAAAAATATGCCTCTTTAGGATATTAAATATTTTGAGCTGATTATTTTTAAGAAACAAAATACTCAGAAAGAACCTTTGACCTTCCCCCTGAAAAGAATTTAGGTAGAGGATGAGGACCTGCTTAATGAAGGGAGATATCATCATAGATAAATAACTATAGCTTAAGCTGAACTGCTGTGTGATGAACAGAGAAGAGCCCAGCAAAGCCTTTTATCAAAGTCTTCTCTGTGACCCATTGTTTCAAGATGAACCAACAAGCATTTGTTTACTAAACTTTAACTCCTTTTTTCATCTCCTTTTCAATTGACTTCCTTTTGAAGTCCTAGACCCGTCTCTTCCCCTCTTTAGTTCAGAATGACAGATATACTCATTATGCCTCACTTTCTGGTGAATTTTCATGCTTATGTGAAGTCTTGTGATTTTCTCCTGTTAATATGCCTTATTTGACCAGCCAATAGAACAAAGAGAAAATGGAGCAAATTCCCCTATCATTGCTTTATTTTTTTTAAAAAAAATATTAATTATTAGAGATAGGAAGAGAAGGGGAGAGAGGGGAAAACATTGATTTGTTATGCAATTATTGCTATAAAATATACAAAGAAGAGCAGTTGATTTATAGCAGCCCTCTCATTTTCATTTTTAACCTGTAGACTTCTACTACATATAGGCAACTGAGAGATTATGTTTTTCAAGATATTGTTAATTTTTTAAAAAAAGTTTCACATTTATTTGTTGTAAGGGTGCAGAAATTTGTATTTATGCAAATACTGTGACAGACTGAATAAACCTTTAATACACAATAGTCTTTCACTACAACAATGACTACTATTAGCATTACGTGGGTTTTCCTGTAGACCAGACTCTGACCCTGCATGAGACATGAAAAGAGGACACTTGGCATTAGTTCAAGTTCCTTCCTTATTCCCTGAAAGGTAGACAATACCAAATCCCTATTTTAAGAGGCAATCTTTTAAGCACAGGACTTTGAAGCCAGAATGTCCTGGGTTTGATTCTTCTTGCACTTAGCTGCTAGCCTTGGACAAGTTTCTCCATTTCCCTGAGCCTGCTTCCTGATGTAAAATGAAGACAATATCCATTTTATGATTTTTGTTTTTGCATTAAGGAAGATAACAATTATCTGAAGCATCTTTAATGCAGCCCCTCTCACCAAGAGGTACCCACAATTGTTTTTTATTTTGTAAAAGAGAAAACTGAGAATTATTTGTAGGCGTGGTGTTGGGTCCCAGATCTGTCTGATTCTTTGGCCAACCTTCTTCATTGATTTCAACATAAGGTAAGTAAGTGAATTGTCTTTGATAAAGAGGATTAGGGCGGAAAAATGCTTAATTTCTCTATGCTCCGCAGTGACCTGTAGATTCTTCATTATTCACTCTTTAGCTATACTGTTTTTTTGTTTGTTTGTTTGTTTCCTTTTTAGCAATTTGGGGCATGGAAAGTATAATCAAAATATCTTCACACTTGTTTAGTAACCTCCCAGCCTGTCCTCAGGGTCCCACAGCAGAAGCTCACCTGCTTCCACCTTCACCAGCACACAAAACTGCACCAGCGGTGCCCCGCCCACATGTTTATATTTTCCTCCATCGGTCACGCCCCCGACCACGCCCCCGTCCACGCGGGGCTCCGGCCACGCCCCCCGCGCCTTAAGTTCCAGGAACAGACTTGCCTAGCACCTCAGTCTACCCGCAGGGATCCCCTTCCCAGCCAATCGCGCGCGAGCCACGGGCTTGCCCCTAACAAACATGGCGGGTGCGGCCTCGATGAGGGCAGACTGATTTAACACCCCAGCCCGGCGGCCAGCAGCGAAGCCAGTGGTGGTAGCGACGCGGCTCCGAGCATGGAGGGCGGCAGCGGCGGCGGCGATAGCAGCAGCCCCGGCGGGAGTGGCGGGGCGCAGCAGAGGGAGCTGGAGCGCATGGCCGAGGTCCTGGTCACCGGGGAGCAGCTGCGGTAAGGCGCGGGGCAGCGCCGGCGGGCTCGCGGGGGCAGTGCCAACCTGTGCCCGCAACCTGTGCACGGGCGCGCCGTGGTTCGTGGCTCGTGGCTTGTGACTCGCGCGGGGCTGCGGGCGCTTGGACCGTCCCGCGTGGCGCCCTGCGGCGCCGGGTTCTAGAGGCGGACGCGGGGGAGCGAGCGGGCGGTGCGCACTGCGCCCTGCGCCCTGCGACGCGCTGCTGCCCGCTGCGCGCTCCCTCTGCCCGGGCACCTGGACGCTGCCAGGCCTCCCAGTTGACAGCTGGTTCCTAATCCGCCTCGAGAGCCACACGGATCAGAGTGCCCCCTCTCCCCACTCCAGCAGCCCCAGTCCCCATCTCTTTACTCCTAGGAAAAAGGAAGCAGTCCAATTATCGTCTTCATTTAAGGGTTTCCCGTTTTTTGTTTTTTTTTTTTTTTGTTGGCACGTCTTGCTTCACTTCTCTGAGCCTCGGCGTTTTGTCTGTAAAATGGAGCTGATCGGGGCGACTCTCTGGAGAGGTGGTTGTGAGGATTAAACGGTGCACATTTTGGAGACACGGTGCCTGTCTCAGGTAGGCAGGTCCTGATCAGCCGTCATTTAGGTCCGCAAGGGGGCGTGGAGGCACCTGGTCCCGCTGCCCGGCTGATGTGCCACCTCCCCCAGAGCGCACAGTTTGGGCTGCTGAATCCATTGGCGGCCTGGCTGCTGCAAGAATTAGGATTGGAAGGGTATCGCCCAGGACAGGCAGCTTCCCCCCAGAACTAACCCCACCTTACCATTCCCATCTCATCCTGGATCTTCTTCTTGGATTCATGTTTGAGAATTGTACTTGCGGTCTGACCGGTTCTGCAGCTGCCCTTTTTGGGCTCATAAATCAGTTTGCTAGGGGAAAAAACCAAAACCCTGGTTCTGCAGTATGTGAGCCACAAGTTGCCTGCTGGTCTCTAGCCCCGCAGGAACGGGGCGCACACTGGTTCCTTCTAGTTCTTGATTAGAATCTCCAGGCTCATTATGGTTTCTGAGTGCTGTGTTTCAGACCTGAAGGAGAGAAAAGCTTGCAGAGATTCCTAAGCTTGGGAAATCACCCTGCTTGAAGCACTGAGATTGAGGAAGTAAATAGTGGAAGTCAGAATTAATTGAGTTTAATATTACAAAAATTGCTCATTTCTATTCCTTGATGATTTTTAATGGATAGCCAAATTTAAGTTGAACAAAACCTTGTTTCTCTTCATCAAGAATATTTCTCATTGAAAAATTAAAACACAGTAAAGATTTTATAATTCAATTTGAAACTACATCGTCTTTTTCAAAGTCCTCAATTGGATACATATAATTTTCTTGAAAATAATAATTGCAAAGAATAAATAAAATAAATTGCATAGTGCTTGCCTTTGTCCAGTACTTATTTTTACCTTCAAAATGCAGCTTAAATGCTCCTTAGAACTCTTTACTCCCATCTTCCCTAGCACCACTCCATATTTACAGCAGGTAGGAGGGCCATACTTAGCAGGTTGGTAAGAAAGATAGAGGGTTCTTTCTCATTCAAGAGTTAGACTGGGTTTGAATTTCTGCTCTGCTACTACTTAGCCAAGAGACAGCATTTTGTTTTGATAATGACTTTTAGCCAGTGTGAGTCCTGGGTTTGCCACTTACTAGAGTGGATCCTGGACCAGTATCTTAACTGAGAATGAGGGGTAATAATGAGGTCTACCTCATAGCGCTGTTTTGGGGATTAGATAAATTAGTGTTTAGAACAGTGCCTGGTATACACACAGGAAGCACCTGATCTGCATTAGCTATTATAGCTCTGCAACCTTGGATGAGTTAATTTACTTCTTTGAAACTCTTTACTCCTCTCAAATGTTAATGAAGATAAGAGCTTCTTGGACTTGTGAGAATTTGCCCCTGGGCTCCATGTATTAATGAACATTCAACAAATGGTTGCTGGAATTAATTAATATTATTAGTCTCTGTGTGTCACCACGTGTGACTTCCAGCCGAACAAGGTCTGGCAGGAAAGATTGGGTGGTGGTGAAGATAGCAAGTATAGAAACCGGCTCTTATTCTACCTCCGCCTTTTACTAGTGACTTTGGGACAATTTACTTCCCTTCTCCATGCCTCAGCTTCCATTTCTTTTGCAGGAATTTTGTGGGGATTAAATGAGATGCTACATGTAAAAGGCGTAGTAAATCTTAGCTATTTATAGTCATTGCTTTTTTAAATTCTCACCTGAGGATATGTTTTCATTAATTTTTTTTTTAGAGCAAATGGAAGGGGTAGTGAGAGAGAGAGAGAGAGAGAGAGAGAGAGAAGAGAGAGAGAAACATCAATGTGATAGAGAAACATCCATGGGTTGTCTCCTATATGCACCAGACTGGGGATGGAACTTCAACCTAGATATGTGCCCTGACCTTGAATGGACCTGCAACCTTGTGGTGTATGGGATGACAATGACATTCCAATTTACTGAGCCACCTGACCAGGCCTATAGTCATTGCTTTTTAAAATCTCATCTTAGCACTGTGCCTGGTACATAATAATTACTCAATAAATATTTGAATGACTAGTGTGTATAATTAAATATACCAATGTAAGTACAGTTAATATAATGTCCAGCCCAGCTGGCATGACTCAGTGGTTGAGCATTGACCTATGAACCAGGAGGGCACTGTTCAATTCCTGGTCAGGGCACACACCTGGGTTTCAAGCTCAATCCCCAGTGTGGGGCATGCAGGCAGCAGCCGATCAACGATTCTCTGTCATCATTGAAGTTTTTATCTCTTCCTCTCTGAAATCAATATATATCTCTAGAATTTAGGAATTTAAGTGGCCTTTTGCCCTGGCTTCTTGCCTCTCATAAAGGAGTGGGCTTGCAGCCATCCTTGGTGTCACTGTCACACTTGGTTCTACGCCCCTAGCTGCTCTCACAGTCTGATTGTGGGGACTTAGTGATGTGCAGGTTTCCTACATCTAATTGCTTCACACATACACAAATTCTTCTTTGCCCTTTTGCTTGTTCATGAATTTCTGGGTCACCAAAGGTGAGGTAAGTGGAGATCATAAGGAAAGAAGAAACTAAGGATTGGGATTTGAAATACAAAAATTGGTTTCTGCCCTGGCCAATGTGGCTTGGTTGGAGCATTATTCTCTACAAGAGAAAGTGGTGGATTTGATTCCTAGTCAGAGCGCATGCCCAGTTTGTGGGTTAAATCCCTGGCTGGGCACATTTGGGAAGCAACTGATCAATGTTTTTCATATCAATGTTTCTCTGTCTCTGAAGTCAATAAAAAAGTTGGCTTCCAGCCCTAACCGGTTTGGCTCAGTGCATAGAACATTGTTCCTGCGGACTCAAGGGACCCAGGTTTGATTCTGGTCAAGAGCATGTACCTTGGTTGCAGGCACATACCCAGTAGGGAGTGTGCAGGAGGCAGCTGATCAATGTTTCTCTCTCATCGATGTTTCTAACTCTCTATCCCTCTCCCTCTCTGTAAAAAAAATCAATAAAATATATATTTTTTTAAAAAGTTGGCTTCCAGGCCCAGCTCTGTGAATTTTATTTATTTATGCATGTATGTACATATTATTTTTAACTACCTTTCTGGGAGACAAGTCAGTTAAGCATTCTGAGTCTCAGTGCCCTTCGCTGCAGAATGGGAATAATGATATTTTCCCATATAAGGTTTGTGGTATTGGTTCCAATGGAATATCACATGGAAAGGAACATTGCAAAATAAGTCACTACACTGATTAGTTGTCATGATTATTATAAGCTCCAGATGTGAAATTGAGGGCTGTCCACACTCCTGACCCTTTGAATAGAGCAGGTAACTGAGGACATGAAATAGAGTAACGACTTAAAAACATTGTCTGCTTCCTTTTCCTAATCTCTTCTTGCTTCCTCTTGTCATAAAATACTGTCTTCCTCACCCAAGGTATTTCCATGTTTTTACATCTAAAAAAATATATTTGGATACTGCTTCACATTCCATGGATGGCTATAATAAAAAACAAAACACACATATATTTAAGAGAAATGAAAACGTATGTCAAAATTTGTAACAAATTTTCATAGCAGCATTGTACATAATAGCCAATCATAGAATAACTCAAATGTCCATCAATTGATGAATGGCTAAACAATGTGTGGTATATCCATGCAATGGAATATTATCCTATACTAGAGGCCCAGTGCACGAAATTCATGCATGGGGTGGTGGGGGTGTCCCTCAGCCCATCCTGCACCCTCTCTAATCTGGGACCCCTTGAGGGATGTTAAACTGCCCATTTAGACCCAATAGGATCAAGTCTAAATGGGCAGTCGGACATCCCTCTCACAATCAGGACTGCTGGCTCCCAAATGTTTGCCTGCCTGCCTTCCTGATTGCCCCTAACCACTTTTGCCTGTCAGCCTGATCATCCCCTAACCACTCCTATGCCAGCCTGATTGATGTCTAACTGCTCCCCTGCCAGCCTGTTTGCCCCCAACTTCCCTCCTCTGCTGGCCTGGTAACCCCTAACTGCCATCCCCTGCAGGGTTGATCACCCACAACTGCCCTCCCTTGCAGGCCTGGTGCCTCCCAACTGCCCTCCCCTGCTGGCCATCTTGTGGCCATCTTGTGTCCACATGGGGGCAGGATCTTTGACCACATGGGGGCAGCCATCTTGTTTGTTGGAGTGATGGTCAATCTGAATATCACTCTTTTATTAGCTAGGATAGAGGCCTGGTGCATGGGTTGGGGCCAGCTGGTTTGCCCTGAAGAGTGTCCCGGATCAGGGTGGGGGTACCCTTGGGGTGTGGGGCAGCCTGGGCGAGGGGCCTCTGGTGGTTTTCAGGCCCGCTACACCCCCCAGCAACCCAAGCGGGGGCCCTGGTATCTGGAATTTATTTACCTTTTACAATTGAAACTTTGTAGCCTGGAGTGGAGCTAAGCCCTCTGCTCACTCTGTAGCTGCCGCCATTTCTGTTTGGTTTTAGGCATCTTCTATAATTAA